CTATACCATATCACATGGAAAGATGATGTATACGTTGGAATTTTAACACAAATGAGACCGTCGCAGCTAGGCATCTGGGTCTATCATGACAACAAGATGGGACTGCCGTTCTGCCAAGAACCCAAAGATGCCTTCTTTTATAACTTTGGAGGATGTGGTGGCCAAGCCGACAAGTATTAGGAGAATTTAATTACAGATAAATGTACTGGTAATAAATAAATAAATAAATAAAACGCTCAGTAGATGTTTTAGTCTTTAATTCAGATTTCAGAGTACAAATAATCACACCTACATTAAAATCTACTACCCCTGTTCCAAATTACATAGTTTTTGCTATATATGCACTTTGATATATATGTGTTATGTGTCTACATACTTATTAAAAAAACAAAAATGACTTATAATTTAGAACAAAAGGAGTAGAAAAAGCAACAAGAAGAGAGTAGACATGCCCCCTCTGTTATAGAATATAAAATGTTTTTTTTGTCTCAAGTGAGAAACTTATTTAACTTTGACCAAGTTTACAGATTCTATAACGTCATATCAAACATCAAAATCTTCCATGAAACATATCTTGACAATTAATGCATTTATTTGGTATTTTAGTATGGTCAAAGTTAGATACATTTGACTTAGGACAAAACTAAGACCTCTCTGACATTTTGAAACTTTGGAAGTATTTAGATAAAGGGTGTGCATATATACTTGCTGTCCTTGTAACACCCCAAAAAATGCTTCTTTTGAAATAGAGATAAATTGAGGTAATTATGAATTTTTGTGCTCATGAAAACATAGGCAAATAATATTTTTCTTAAATTAAAATTTATCATAGGGTGTAGAAACATGTCGAGCATTCATGCCTTCGCATTTGCTTTATTGAGTTGAGTGGTTTTCACCAAAATCCAAAATGTGATAAACTACTTTTGAAAATGGTTTTGAAATAGCTTTGAAATAAAAGAAAAGAACAAAAAAAAAGAAAAGGAAAACTCTCCCTCTCCCTCTCTTTAGGCCTGTTGACCTCCCTTCCCCGCAGGCCGGCCCAACCCCGCGGTCCAGCCAGAACAGCCGCGGGCGCCCTTTCCCCCTCTCCCCTCTGTTTCAAGCAGGCCCAGGTGGGCTTGGCCCTGTGTCTCCCCCCCTCTCTTCTGCAAGGCCCGCGCGCCTCTTTCTCTCCTAGGCCAGCCTAATACGGATGCGCCCGCTCCCCTCTCTCGCCTCTATCATTGGCCGGTCGGTCCCACACCCCATCCTGACCGCTGGGCCCGCTCCATCAGCCGCACACCCCGCCTTCCATCTTCAACCTCTAGCGCCTTCCATATTTGGAAGCCAGCGGCTTCGTTTCTTGGATGAGCTCGATCCGAGCTTGGATCTTCACCTTCCATCGATGCCACCACCTCCAGTCTATAAAAGTCGAGTGCCCGTGCCCTGCCGCCCTCGCCAAGCCACCCCCAAGCCGCCGTCTCGTGCCAAGCCGCCACACCTGAGCTCAAAAACCCTAATGCGCCACCACCGGGTTGATCTCCTTTGTCGTAGCTCCGTCGCCGCCTTGAATTGTTCATCGAGCCTCGGACGATGGTAAGAAACATGCAGGTGCCACGTGTTCTCCCCCTCCCTTTCTGTTGCATGTGCTAGCTCACCGCGAACCCAAGCCACTCGATCAAACCCCACGATACCTCTGTTCACTCACCGCCATCACCAATACCCCCATCGAGTTCGTGAGCTACATATCTTCATCCCCGTACCCATCCCGTGCCTCCTCGTGGCTCGAAACGCTGTCGACCGAGGCACCGGCGAGCGTCCAGCCACGTCTCTGCCGTGTAGTGCGCCACCCCGGTGACCCTCATCTCCCCCATCTATTCTGTGCCATCCATTTCTAGATCGGTGGCTCAAATCCAAAGTTGACCAGGTCAATACCGGTCAACAACACCGCTTTTTCTTAAGAGCCCCTCTAGTTTTCTGAAATCAACCCGCAGTTTGCATCTGTTCAAAAGTATTTGAAAAAAGTCCCTTTTCTTCTGTTTTCACACCTATTCTTTTCCAAAATAAACCCGCCGTCCCTGTCTAGATTCAAAATCCTGATTTCTATTTATTTTAATTCAAAAACAAAATCCAGTTATTTACAATACTGCCACTAATCTTGTTTTAAGCATAATTTCTCTGTTTTAGCTCCGTTTTGACCCATTCAAGTTGCGTTAGATTCATAATGATATAATCTACGCGTTTGTAGCAACATTTACCATGTCACTAGATTTGGAATTTTATGGTTTAAATCCTAATTTGAATAATGATTATACAACTGGATTTATAAATAAAATATGATTAATTTTATTTTAGTTTTCTAATTCAAATATAAATTTGACTTAATTCGATTTAGATGTTTCCCTAAAATATCTTATACATGTTTTATATATTATTAAAATAAATGAAGCCTATAGTTTTCTTGTTCTCATATAAAATAAATCTTTCGGTAACCGTTTTTTCTCATCATAGCTCCGATTAGCATGATTTTCACCGCAGTGTGTTCATAGGAATGCATAGATTAGTTTTGAAACCTTTTCACTAACTGGTGTACTATTCTAATTTAGTCCTATTGTTTGCTTCGTGTATGATTGCATGGATACTTGTTTGGTGTTCTATGATCATGTCCAGTCGGTGAGCTTTGTATTGGTGATCAAGAAGCAATTCTTTAGAGGTTAAGAACTAGCAGAAGATCAGAGTTTAAGGCAAATATAGCATTGGGTCATTCTTGTTATCATGTTCACTTTAATAACAATTTGATCATATACATGTGTCCACCTTGATTACCACTAAGGATTTACTAGTATTTGTACTTGTACCTTATCATCTATGGGTTTATGCATTGGGTAGTATGAGATGCTAGCGCTCAATTAAAGACCATGATCTTGTAACTTGACTAATGGAATATGCAATAAACACTAAAAGATGTTTTTAGCAAACAAGGAACAAGGGGGCTAGAGCATAGTTTTTGTGATGCTCTAGATTCCTCTTCCTAAGGACTTATCTATAAGTGATCATCAAGGACTTACAGTACAACCATAAGTGATATATGGCTCTGGCTTTAGTCAAGTATAAGGACCTTTTTCTAGTTTGTTAGTGGTTACCTTTATGGCGCAATAGGGGTGTGTTCCAGGTTGGGTGTAATGCGGCCTCTGTCCTTATGAGTATAGCCTACGCGAAATGTGCCATTGGGAAGGGGGCTCTACATTCGCAGGCCACAGAAACCTAACAGCCCTAACTTAGTAGACTAACCTTTGAAAGACTGCATAGTGAACCCTACCGACCTTCCTTGGTAGTGGGTTAAGAGGCTCACGACCTCAGGCAAAAGGGTGTAAATCACTGCTCATGGTGAAAGCTTACAACCTCTGCAGAGTGTAAAACTGTTATAACAGCCATGCTCACGGTCACGAGCGGCCTTGGACTCCTTATGGAATAGATGATCACTAATGATAATTTGTTTATGGTATTCATTATTCATGTTTACCTGATCATGTGTTTATATGGGCTTGTGATAAACTTGTGGCTACTCAATTGCTTAAAATTGTGACTTATTAAAAGCTAACTGCAGTTAAACCAGTGTCTACCATTTGAGCCTCATGAACCCCAGGTTATTCTTGTTGAGTATGAGATGTACTTAAGCTTGTTTATTTTCACTAGTAGGATAAAAATCCAGGATGGGTACCAGATTGCTAGATTCTAGAGCAGTTAGGCTTGTGACTAACCAGTCAGTTGTCACTATGGAGTGGAGTCTTCACCCGAAGATCGAAGTTATCTATCTGCTGTTTGTGCCTAAGGTTGTCTTCTTTGTACAAAGTATGTTATATATTAAGCATTGTCTTTTGATATTACCTTTATTTGTAGCCATATATGTGATTTGACTTCCTAGGCTCACATATGGTGTGTATCTGGTTTTGTCCTTAAAATCGGGTGCTACAGTCCTCCTCCTCCTTCGTATATATTGATGAACATTCCCCTCCACGGCCCCTCGTACCTGAAATTTAGTCATCTAGCTTGCTGGAAAACTTAACCGTATTTTTTAATGGTCACCGGAGGAGAACATCCTCACCTGAATTGTATTGATATAGTGGCATAACCACACATCAACAACCTCATTTTTAGGACAAGGCAAAACCTTTCATTGCCCAATTAATTTAGGGAAACAGGGCTAATTAAAGCCATGACACTACCTAGCTAAATTAACTAGATCTCAAAGTAATTAACCACCCCAGCACAAGGGGGAAGCTAGGTGTAGCATAATCATAGGTATGGTGTACTCCCTTCATGCTTTGCAACATGATCAAAATGTTCGAACCACGAATGAAGCAGGTGAATTAACCAAAGCATATATAGCTCGGCTAGTTAAATTTCTTGTGAGATAGAACGATATGTCTATCCGGGTTCAAGTCCTTCACTTAACACTAGCAAGCGTAGACTTATTTTAGAATATAGCAGCGCTATTCTTTCAGCGATGGGTGATGTGCTCATCGACAGCGAGACCCAGGGATCAATGTATCTATACTGTGATTTAAAAATAAAAAAGAAACCATCAAGTGGGGCGGCAGAAAAGAAAAAAAAAAGAAGCGTCCGTCCGTTATATCCACTAACGTGCCCCAGCACGCAGCAGACAAAATTAGATGCTCAGAAAATGAAATGGTTGGAATTTCTGAGGGGACGGCTAGCTTAAATTAGACGCAAAGATCAGAATGTACTGTAGTTGGCAAGCACATCTATTCCTTTTCTTTCATTCCCATCAGTCCAAATGTATATCTATCCCTTTCTCATGGGCTCCGATCCGGCTATATATAAAGCCATCATCAGCTCCATGCCTCCATCACCAAGGCGACTTGTGTGGCAAGGGCAATAATTCTTCCCTTCCATCCTTGTGCGAGTTGTGTGGGAGTATATATATATAAGCTAGTCTAGGAGTATACTACCGGAACAAGGCACGTAGGATGAGTTCGTCCGTGGTAGCCGTCCAAGATATGGACGACTTGTATGAAGCTGTGGAGAACGCTAATGAAAAGAAAAAGCTGGTACGGTACATATATTATCTTATCTTGATTCAGTTCGTTTCTTGGATTTCTGTAGAATTATTGGTTCGTCCATTATTCATTCATTCATTATACATATTCTATGTGTCTCTCATTCAAAATTAATCTTTGTCCACGTACGCTCAATTTAAGCTCCTACTGGAGTTCATAGGGTCGACGTCCTACCGGTCGACGTGCGAGTTTATGAAGCCGATTGTGGAGTCAGTCGCCAATACTTACAAGAACAAAGCCGACTTTTGTACAGTCGATGTCGACAACAATGAGTTCAAGGTATCCACACATCTCTCTCTCACACACACATATGCCATATGGGCCAACTACAACTCCTCATATGCCATATGAGCCACATGAGCTAACAGCGGAAATATTACAAGCTTCTAATGGGCTGGGGTGTTACATCAATTACGACTCTTTTTGAATCACTAGCTAACTATTAACTATGTTAGTTGAAGAAACCAGCTAGTAGCTAATTGTTAGCTAGGTGATGGGTAAGGTATGAGATGGTTTATTAGCTTAGGGCAGCTAAGGATCCAAACAAGATCTTAGCTAACTTTTAGCACCTAACTATTAGTTGTACAAGTCCATCAACTCGTGCTCTTGCATAGGCCAGAGGTTTAGAGGGTATAAGTATTAGTTCCTGTTTAATTAATACATATAACTAATAAAGAATTACTTATATTAAATTATATATTTCTCTCTTTGTTTATTTTCTAGCATATATAATAGACTTAATAGATACTACGTAGTCTATATCCGGTTGTCATAAATTTATTAATTAGTTTTTTTTGTAAGGGACAGATCTATATATTTTTCATCTATATTACTACCTTTTTCTTTGTATGACACCTATGTATATTTTCAATATGCAATTAGTTTGAAACCTTACCTTTAACTATGGTGGCCCTTGTTGCATCAAATATGTTATGAAATCATCAATCTAAATTTTGAAATTCCAAATTTTATTCTTATTGACCGCTACAGATTTTTTTATCCTCAAATTAAGTTAAAATTCTTGTGTTTAACATATCTTTTATTAACTCTTCTTTTTACATTTTTTCCAAAATAAAATTTTAGGTCATAGAGTATGTTATTAAATAATATAATACATATAAGCAATCATTTGAAACCTGCACCATGTCACTTAAGATAAGTAATAGAGTTTGAAGTGAGATCTCGGATGGGGTAGCAGTGCTAACCTCAAGATAATTTTAATACAAAGCCTTATAATTAGCAACTTTTTACTCTAGTGTAATGTTAATTAAAGGACCAAAAACATAGAGTCGCCAGTGGCCTCCCATAGTTCTCAAGATGATTGAATTTTCATATCAAGGAATTATGTGTAGTTATGGTTATACTATCAATATATATAGATGCGTCAAAAATTGTACGTAGTTAAAATATATAAATATGTCTAAAGTAACAACATGTACAAGTTATATGCCATGATTATTAATATGGTTTAAAAATGATTAGTATCATTAGTATATGAGTTGTTAAGAAAATATCTTTTATAATGACAAAGGTGAGTAATTTAGATGCAATGTTAGGGGTTATTTGGAATTATGTTTCATAATGACAAAGATGAGTAATTTAGATACAAATTTAAGGGCTTATTTTGAACTATTTTTCATAATGACATATGCGTGTGTAATTTATATACAAATTTTGGGTGTTATTTAGAATTTTCTTTCGTATTGGCAGATGTGAGTATTTTAGATGCAAAATTAAGGGATTACTTTTATGTATTTTTCGTAATAGCAGTGGTGGGTATTTTTTTATAAATTACAATAGATCCAATGACTATTACCGGCAATGATTATTAGAGTCTCTCAAAATGAAGGTTAGATGTTTTTAGTTAGTGTGAGAATTTCTAAGATTTATTTTTTCCCTAGCGCGTCTCGTGCGTTAGTGTAAGAATTTCTAAGCAGGTTTGTCTTTTTTCTTCTAGCGTGTCTCCTAAGAATTAACATGGTATCTTGGTTGAGGCCTATAATTAGTCATAGTAAGATGTGATCCAAACATGTTCTAAGCTGTAGGTTCATTAATGCAGGATCTCGCGAAAGCGTTCAGAGTGCAGGCCCTGCCGACGTTCCTGATCATAGTGGACTACAAGATGGTGGAACAGATTGTTGCTCCGGACAAGCAGGAGCTCATCAAAAGCATCAACAAGGCTGCTCCTACAAAGTGAAAACAAAATATACCTTATTGTAACATGCATGCACATGGATCCATGTGTACCCATCCAGAGCACGTATGAGCACCCTGTATGGTAATGGTATGGTAGCACAGTATATGTATGTCTCCGAGATCCCGACCTTGATGCACTGAAGAAATATACAATAAATAAAAGTAACGGTTTGCAGTATTTATGTGGCGTAAATTGCCTAATGCTCTTATATTATCGCACGAAATATTCCAAGTGCCTTGTCATCATCATCGATGTATATATGATCTTCATGGCTGACCTATTGTTGGCACCTAAAATTGGTCAACCCGGGTGAATTTAGTGGAAACCTGATCGAAAAACATATATAGAATTTAATTTGGAGTTTGGATGGCAAAATCATGCTCCTGAGAATGAAGTTTTATACCCCGTGAAAATCGGCCTGTAGCATCCAGGTTTCCAAAAAAAACCAAGCACTCGTTGTGCCCATGAAGTCCACACATACAACAACAGAAATATAGAGTATCAGAAGCAATGTTATATAGAGGAAACATACTCATATTAACACTTACATTTATCAGAGTACGGTGGAACAAATACTAATCGATCTTCTCTTCAAGTTCCATTTCACAGGGATGGTCGATTGGCGGTAACATACGCCTAGCATTCCTCAGAAACTTAACCAAGCTCCACCTTCTGTTACCATTTGGGATTTTGCCAAAATATTGAAAATAAAACAAGCTTAAGCAACTACTGCTTAACAAGCATAAAGTGAGGGGATGCAGGGGCTCAAAGACTTGACACGGCTGTACTGCGGTAAGCAATTCTAGTTGGTCATGTTTTAAGCCATTATAAGTCTATGTAGCTATGTAATGCTTAAGCTCCCAAGTGTGAATAGTAATTAAGGATATTAGCAACATTAAAGATAACCATACCATCCCCGCAAAAAAGAAGATAACCATACCATCCGAGTAACCAACAGCACGGCTGATATATCAGTTTGAAACACTCTGTAGAGGTTGTACAACTTTACCTATGAGTCATGATTACCATATGCCCAAGGTAGCTAGCCAATTTACCTACTTCCAAGGTGAGTATGGAGGGTTTCAGCCCGAACCTTTCCCTAGTCATTCTAGTAAGGAGCAACTGCAAAGGTTTCCGTCGACCACCCATCATGGAACCTTCCTTCAAAGTGGCACACATGGTCGCAGCATAGTACACACAATGATAGGATCGAGCCCATAACCATCACAACACTCCCCTCTTGCCCTTTTGGTAAGCTGCTACAAACTAGAACAAATCAAGGTACTAGACTAAGACCAGAGCCATGTAATCCTCACGGTTGTACTGTAAGTCCTGGGTTGCTGTTTAAAGATGAGTCCTTATGGAGAGAAACTAGAGCACCATAAGAAAGGCCCGATGCTCTAGCCCCCTTAGTTCCATGTTGCTAAAAAGCATATTTTAATACCATGTTGCATATATCATTAATCAGATTGATAACCTAATAATTTGTAGAAGCAAGCTAAGCATACTACCCACATGCAAAAATCCATAGGTAAACAAGGGAGATCGGATATCAATATCAAGGTAAGTAAACACCAAGTAGTTCATTAACACATGCATATGAAGAGTGTTGAATTAAAGGTGAATAGGTAGTCAAGGAGCTTCATATATTATACTTGCCTTCTACACTTGCTTTCACTCTATGTGAAATTGCTCAGAACCTTTAATCTTTATCTTTTTTTTCAACTTCTGGCCTTCAGCTTTTGGTCTTCAACGCTCACGTACGATTCTTTGTCTACTCGTAGCAAACACCAGCAACTCGTGGAAACATACAAGGAAACAAACATACAAGCAAACAAACAAAGTAGAGAAAAACTAAGAACATTACACCAATAATAGCAAACGCTTTAAAACAATGATTTAAAATAAAGGGCTCGTTGCTATGGTTACGAGAAAAACAGTGCTATGGTTAAAACAAAACAACTATCAAAAGATTTGCATTATCAAGAAAGAAAAAAGTACGGGCTTGATTTGTTTTAATTAGATAAAACCATGTAAAGGATATCTTTAGAGAAATATCCTTAGTCAAAGTAGTTAATTTATATTTTGATTTATAAAACCGTGGTATAACCTCTTCATATTTTATTTATAAATGTTGCTATAGAAATTTAACCGAGTTAAACTTTAACTTTGAAAATGAACAATACATGTGAGATTATCTAACGAATTTTATACAACTCATGTTTAACTAATAAACTTATAATTAAAATACATTTGTATTAACACTAATCTATAAAAATTTATATTGCTTTTACTAATAAAACTAGTTCCATACACATTTATCAAATTAAGATTTACATTATAAATTTAGAAACTTGAATGGTCTTATATGGAGTTAAAACAAAGATTTTATCCTAAAACAAGAGGCAGTGTCATATTTTGTAAATACTAGGACTTTATTTTCAAAGTAAAATAAATCAAAACTGATTTTTAAATGCTAGGTGGACCTGCAGGTTGATAAGAAGAAAAGGTAGGGGGATTTTCGAAAGAAACCGGGTTGATTTTGAATTATTTTTGGCTTGGCTTGCATGGCAGGTTGATTATGAAGAAACAGGGGGCTTATTTTCATATAGTGCACAACTGGCTCAATTGACTTGGTCGTTGTCCATGTGGAGCTCACGTAACACCAGGTGGCAGCTTCTGGTTGAACCGGTCCACACGCGGGACGGTGATCGTAGTCCATGATTTTCCCATGGATCGATGGGATATCTTTTGTTTTTGGCCGCTAAATCAGATTCGATGGCTACGGTGAGTTCATGGAGTTTGGGTCGTCGGGGTGGCGGGTTCACGGTGGAGTGCCATGGCTGGGATCCTGCCGGTGATGCATCTGCAGCATTCTCGGCCATGAGGGCACACAGAAAAGGCACCGGGACGTAGTGGAGGTCTTGGCGAACTTGACTAGGGTGTTGGTGAGGACGGCGGTTAAGTAGAGACATCACAGGGCTCGAAAAGGAGGATTGGGCTTGCCAGCGTTTCTACGGTGAGGTTGTCTGTGTAGGAGAAAGCGAGAGAGAGGGGGGGGGTGGGGGGGGGGGCTACTGTCATGTAGAACCCGAAGAGGGTTCGAGGATGGTCGCAAGGTCAAAGAAACTAAGAGTAGTGTGAGGTGAAAGGGACTAAGAGTAGTGGGTGTGTTCAGTACTGATCAGATATTTTAGTTTGTTAAACTAGTTTGAGAGACTTAGTAGCGAGACATTGGTTTGTAAGGGCTTCATTATGTACCTACCTATTTAGTTAATTAATTTGTCCTTTGTAGTTATATATATGATGTATTGTATCTTGCGAGAATTGTTTGGTGTGTGAAAAAAGATAATTGCAGGGTGTAGTATATTGGACCTGTAATGGCACCACTAGTAGAGAACAAACCTTTAATCCTCGGTCAAAATGGGCTCTAGTCCCGGCATTTTTTGCGCCCGGGACTAGAGATACCTTTAGTCCCTGTTGGTGGCTCCAACCGGGACTAAAGGTCCCCCCCAACGGCTACTGCGCTAGACAGAGGTGGCAGGGACCTTTAGTCCCGGTTGGAGCCACCAACCAGGATTAAAGGTATACTTTTACTCCCGGTTGGTGGCTCCAACCGGGACTAAAGGTCTCTGCCACCTCTGTCTGGCGCACGAGTCGTTGGGAGGGACCTTTAGTCCCGGTTGGAGCCACCAACCGGGACTAAAGGCCCCCCCCTTTATATATCGGCCGTCTCCTTCTTCCTCCCTGAGCCCGAGCTCAGCACATTTTGAAGCTCACTGCACTAGCTAGTGTTCTTGCTTCCTCCCTCCATTGTTCCTTCATCCATTCTTCGATTCCTCCGTCGATTTCTTCGATTCCTCCGTCGATTCTTCAGTTGTAAAGGTTACAAATCTCATACTCTCATTTTTCACCATTGTCTTATCTCATTTTGTTCACTACATATATATGGTTCTTTATTGTGGTTTTTTTCATTTGTAAGCAATTTGAGCTCAAAATCACTTCAAGTTTGCATATTTACATGAAGGAAGGTTAAAGTAGCTATTAAAAACTAGTATTCACCGTTCATTTGTAGCATGCATAGCACACTTCATTGTTTAGAGATATAGAGAATTTTAGAGTTTTTTAATTTTATTTGTTTATAAAATGAGAAATTTATAGTGTATTAAAAAATGAGTATAGGGACTAGTGCCTCCGACTGGTATGACAGATGCAATGCAAGGCCGTGCAATAGAAAGCAAATCCGTTCTCTTTTGACGATACGCCCGAACAGCCGGGCCTGATAGATTTGGTGGTTGAACGGGTCCGTCGGCCACGCCGCGCGATCGTACGACAAAGAACGCATCGATCGACCATAGTATTTTATTGTCCGAGTCCGGTCCGGGTGCAATGCAACGCAATGACAATCGACAATGCGTTGCTAGGTCAAAATATGGTCATTTCTATGGACTCATGACTAAACATTTTATTTTAACTTTTTATGAAATGAAAAACTTAGAAAATAGTTAGAAAATTATAGAAAATCCGTACTAGTTGAACTTGCGGACCGTGTTCACTCGGCGAGCATGTTCTCTCGCCGAAGGTAACGGACGTCAAGGAGGAGCTTTTGATTCTACGAGGGAGAGCAAAGAACGGTCGTGGAAGACCGTGTTTCCTTCCTCGTAGAATCGGACCTCTTCCTTGACCAAGCACGGTGCCGTCCGGTGGAGAAATGCTCACGAGATGATCACGTAAGCAAGGTCAACTAGTACGGATGGTTATTTATTAAAACATGTTTTTGAGCTATAAATCCTGCTGGCCGTCTTCTTCCTCCCCGAGCCCGCCCGAGAGCTTAAGTTCAAATTTAAGCAGTGTTCTTACTCTTTCTCCATCCATTCTTCGATTTCTCCATCGATTTCTTCGATTCCTCCGTCGATTCTTCGGTTCTAAAGGTTACCAACTTCACACTCTCATGTTTCATCATTGTCTTATCCCATTTTGTTCACTATATATATATATGG